GTTTTATGTTGGTACCTTTTGTGAAAGGTTTTCCGCGTTGCTTTAATCACGACACGTGTATATAATTTGTTGGTGCCGTTTCCCCTCCTATTCCTTCCTTTTCGCTCTGTTTTTTATACGCACTGTTGCTTCAGCCCTCCATCTCTGTCGCTTCAATCTGAACTTCGGAAACCCTTCTTTTTATGTTCAATAAAGTTTCAATCTTTTCCATTCGATTCAACAAACCACAGCCGATTCTCCCTTCTCCTTTCTGGGTTTCAGATTAGTGAAATATATATAAATACCCTTTCTCCCTCTGCAAATAAAATCTGTTTCGAGGATTATTTTTGTGTATTTTCTCTCTCCCATGAACACAAACAACCGCATTTCGTTTATAACAGTTGAAACTTCATAGTAAAGCCTTTCTTTCATCCCATTTTTTCTTTGAAAATCTTCTGTTTTTTTGTTTAAAAACAGAGCAAAAAAAATGGGTAATTCTGGGTTTCTTGCATTGTTATCGACATTCCTCTGTGTGCATCTCTTTGGTGGATCTGTCAATGGTCTTGGTGTGAACTGGGGCACAATGGCGACCCATAAATTGCCACCGAAAACAGTGGTTCAGATGTTAAAAGACAATGGGATTAAAAAGGTGAAGCTTTTCGATGCAGATTCAAAGACTATGGGTGCTCTTGCAGGGAGTGATATTGAAGTAATGGTTGCCATTCCTAATGATCAACTGCTTGCTATGAATAGCTATGATCGTGCTAAAGAATGGGTTAAGAAGAATATCACCTTATATAACTTCAAAGGAGGTGTTAAAATTAAGTAAGTTATTGATTATTCGAATTCGAGTTTGAGTTTTAAATGATTTTCAGAGTTACAGATTATGTTATTCGAACTCGGATGTGTATATATATATATATATATATATATAGTATGTTAAACTTTATTTTCTCACAGGTATGTAGCTGTTGGGAATGAACCATTTCTCACAGCCTACAATGGTTCATTTGTGAACACCACATTTCCAGCTCTTCAAAACATTCAGAATGCACTTAATGATGCTGGTGTTGGGGACACCATAAAGGCTACCGTGCCCTTAAATGCTGATGTGTACAACTCGCCCGAGAGCAACCCCGTTCCGTCTGCCGGCCGGTTCCGGCCCGATATCGGTGGACCTATGTCGCAAATAGTCAATTTCCTAGCCAAGAACAGTGCACCTTTCACCGTGAACATCTACCCTTTCCTCAGCCTCTACAACAATGACGACTTCCCTTTCAATTATGCTTTCTTCGAGGGAGGAAATCCGATCGTTGATAAAGGGATTCAGTACTCGAATGTTTTCGATGCCAACTTCGACACATTGGTATCGGCTTTGAAAGCAGTAGGCCATAGGGATATGCCCATTATCATTGGGGAAGTTGGTTGGCCTACAGATGGTGACAAGAATGCCAATATGGCTAATGCTCAGAGATTTTACAATGGACTCTTGCCGAGACTTGCAGCCAACACCGGCACACCTCTCCGTCCGGGGTACATCGAAGTTTACTTGTTCGGACTTATCGACGAGGATGCCAAGAGCATTGCACCGGGGAATTTCGAACGACATTGGGGGATATTCCGGTACGACGGGCAGCCTAAATTCCCAATAGATCTTTCAGGTCAGAAACAGAACAAGTTGCTCACTGGTGCAAAGAATGTCAAGTACCTCAAACAGCAATGGTGTATGTTCAATCCAAATGCCAAGAACATTGGCAAACTTGTAGACAACATAAACTACGCCTGCACTTTCTCCGACTGCACGGCTCTCGGGTTTGGATCGTCGTGTAACGGTCTCGACGCCAACGGGAACGCTTCGTATGCGTTTAACATGTATTACCAGGTGCAAAATCAGAAGGACATGGCATGTGATTTTCAAGGTTTGGGCATAATTACGACGCAGAATATTTCACAAGAGACTTGCAATTTTATCGTTCAGCTTGCTTCTTCTTCACCATCATCTTCTTCAGGAAGTCCCTTAGTGGTGTTATTAGCCATTTTTACTGTATTGACTTCATATTTTCTATTCTAGTGTATTATTTTTTACAGCTTATTTCTCTTGGATTTTTTGTCTTGTATGTTGAAAGATTCTTGGGTCATTTATTTTATATATGTTGATTTGATATAATAAAATCGACCTACACATTTATTATATATCTAAAATTGTAATATGAACAATAGATGCGTGAAATCGGAGTGTTTTTGGTATCGAGGGATAGGTGACAGACGAAAAAATAAAATGCCAAAATGAAATTGTTTAAAAATCGTTTTCTTCAAAACTAAAATCAAAGTTTAATATTTTAATTGAGAAAAATTAAATACGAATTAATCAATTTTTGTAACAGTTAATCGAATTGAAGTTTTTAAAATATTAATCAATTATTTTGTAAATTTTTTAGTTAGATTAACTTAAGTTTAATATTTAGGTTTAAAAGTCTTAATTGTTAATGAGTTTAAACTTTAAAAAATATATACGTAATATATATAATATATATTATTTTCATTAATTAAATTAATTTAATTAATTAATCGAGTTTGAATTAATTTAATTATAATAATTTTTTTTAAAATAATTATTAATCAATTTAATATGTAATTAATCAACTAATAAACTAAACTAAGTTTTAATTAGATAAATTAATTAAGTTAAAACCTACCATTGTCAAAGATGAGAGCGTTCAATATTAAATAGTGGAAGTTATCTATAAACAGATATTGTATTGTACTTGTTCAGATTAATTAAAAAATTAGGGTAAAATATATAAATAATCCTCAAACTTTCAGTTTGCTTGCATTTGAGTCACCTAACTTTTAAAACTTACAATATAGTCATCAAACTTTTAGTTCGTTTTTTATTTTTATCCCTTAACCGCGGTTAACCTATCCTCTTCTTCTCTTCAGGTTACTTCTTCTTCTTCTTCCTCCTCCTAAAATCTCACCTCTCCAAACACTACTCAAATGGGACTTCACTTCCACACTCAAATCCACCAACCTGGAGAAGAGGAAGGGGTGGATTAACAGGAAAATACATTTTTTCTTTGTTTTCAAAATAGAAATTACTTATTGCACATAAAAGTAAAAAAAAACAATATGTTCAATGTATATAAACGACTACGGCTGAAACTTATTATTATTAGGCGCTGCCAAAACCAAAAAGAAAATAGATTTTTTTCTTTGAAAGTTCCGTCTTCCTCTTCGCAGGTAAACTTTTCTGTTTTCATTGTTATGTATTTTCGAATGCTTACTTAGTTTGTTTAGATACTTATGGCTGCTTTTACTTTGATCAATTTGATGAATTTTGTTTGATGTTACGCTCATGGAATCCTGATTTCAATGGTAACTGAACTGGTTTCTTTTTCTCGAGAAAAATATTTTAAATCTTTAAGAAATGGTAACGGTAATATCATTGATTATTACGAGGAGGAAGAGAAATATGTGAGAAAGGTTGTTAGGTTGAAAGTTAAGCCAATGTCTTCAGCAAGGTTCGGGAAGATAGTGGATAAGAAACCACGAAAGTGAAAAATTGTATCCGATGACAATGAGGATTATGAGGAGGAGGAGGAGCAAGAAGAGGAAGATGATGATGTGGAATTCACCTTGGATGAAGAAGATTGTTTGGATGAGGAAGAGAAGTTGACTATGAAAAAGAAGAAGAAAAACAATAAGAATATTTGTAATCGAGGCTTGCGAAAAAGGAGTGCTTCTAACCATAGGACAAAGAGGAAGAAGTCTGCAGTTGCTAAGAAGCCTTTGAAAAAAGGGGGAAGTAAGAAACATCAATTGGAAAAGAAAAGGAAAATTGAAGAAGATGACGATGATTGTGATTTTATTGACAAAGCTCCGATTGTGAGAAAAAAGAGCAGAAAAATGGAGGACAGAGGAGAAAGGCACATATTATATGTTAACGGTAGGGACTAGGGACATAAATAAAAACGAATTAAAAGTTTAATGACTGTATTGTAATTTTCAAAAGTTTAGTGACCAAAATGCAAGATACCTAAAAGTTTGGGGGCTATTTATATATTTTACCCAAAAATTTAAATCATAAAACGCAAATACTTTTAAAAAATAAAAGGTAAACTATAAATTTAATAACTAAACTTTATTCTCTCTTCTATTTTGCTCATTAAACTTTAAAAGTTTTTAATTTTTTCACTGAACTTAATACATTGAGTTTTTTTATCACTACGTCGTTAAATAGTTATCGGTGTTAAAACGAAACCATTTTAAAAAAATAAAATTTTCATCAAAACCTTCGTGTTGCACCTGTATAAAAGCCCATTTATAACATCGTGAGTGAATAACAAAAAATTCAATGTATTAAGTTCAGTGAAAAATTGAAAAGATTTAAAGAATAATGAGTGAAATAGGAGATAAATTAAAGTTTAATTACCAAATTTGTAATATATCCAAAAAGAAAAGTCAAATAAAGAAACTATTTCCTTGTCTTGTTTCCTTTGTCTACACCGTCTCCGGCTCCAATAAGATCGTCTTCGATTCACATGATAAACACAGTTCTCTCTCTTTTGTTTCATTCAACTTTACATCTTCTTAAAAATATTATTAATAAAATAAATAAAACAGTAAACTTGCCAAGCTTTCACCTTTCAACAACCTTGTTTCTTTCTCGCTCAGGTAGGTACCTAAAAATACCTTTCTCCCTCACTTTCATGTGATCTTAAGAATAACATTAACACAGCAAATTAATATGATATGATAGTATGTTTCTATCTATGTATGTGCTTTGCTTCTTCTTCTTTTTGGTATGTATGTATGTATGTATGTATTGTTTTATGGGCTTTCTTTTGCAAAGTTTTCATCTTTTTTGGGATCATTGCAACTCTCTTGCTGGTTATTTGGGTTGAGATGGTTAGTTATATTTAATAGCATGAAATGCGTTGATTATCTGGTCGTTAACAATTCTGGGTTTACTCGTTTGTGTTCATATATAGAGAGAGAATCAAAAGACTAAATAACTTAAGATGTCGACGATCGGAAATTCAACTAATATATTCTGGCAAGAATGTCCGGTTGGGAAGCTTGAAAGGCAGAAACTCCTTTGCCAAAAGAGTTGTGTTGTGTGGATCACAGGTCTCAGTGGATCAGGTTTATATCAAATGGACTTCCCTCTATTTTTTTCCCCGGAAAATTAAAACATTTTAGCAACTTGACTCGATTTGCTTGGACTAAGGTTCGAATTCGAAAAATTACTCTGATTTGGACTGATCATGTTCAGGTAAAAGTACACTTGCATGTTCATTAAGTAGGGAACTGTATACAAGGGGGAAATTATCTGACGTACTATACGGTGACAACCTTCGGCATGGATTAAACAAGGATCTCGGTTTCAAGGCAGAAGATCGAACGGAAAATATACGCAGGGTCGGTAAGTATGCTCTGAGAAGTACATGTTTCCTAGAGTTATTTATTTTACTTGGCAACCAAGAAATGTACTATTAGACACTGTGCCATTGGTCCATTACTTAATGAACATAGTTCTTTGATGCATCCTGTTGGAGTCGTTTCTAGATGTTTTCTGCGCTCTTGTTTAGGTGAAGTTGCAAAGCTATTTGCAGATGCCGGCTTAATCTGCATTGCCAGTCTAATATCTCCATATAGGAAAGATCGAGACGCATGCCGTGCAATGTTACCGGATGAGAACTTTATAGAGCTAAACCCCCTTTTGCTTGGTTCTCATCTTAAATCTTTTTACTTAAAATGTTTTTTCCTTGTACATCTCCAGGTTTTCATGAACATGCCTCTGACATTGTGTGAAGAAAGAGATCCCAAAGGTCTTTACAAGCTCGCACGCTCCGGAAAGATTAAAGGTTCCGTCGATTGCTTTCAGATATTCATTAACCAAGTTATTGCCTCCTTGTTTCCCTATTAGACCAAAATGGCAATGGCCTCATATTTAAGGACCATAACAAAGAATTGTGTTGTTTATTATAGGTTTTACAGGCATAGATGATCCTTATGAACCGCCGCAGAAATGTGAGGTACGTCCATATATGACCATGGAAGCTACTAATACTGACATTGAGCTTATAGTTTGGCTATCATTCTAAACTGTCATTTCCAGATTGAAATGAACCAGAAAGGTGGAGTTTGTCCAACGCCGGTAGCGATGGCAGGGGAAGTAGTTTCATTCATGGAGGAGAAAGGATATCTGCAAGATCATTAACGAACGCTCTATCGACATGTCCCCAAAGGCGGTCCGCTTCTAAAACGTTGCTTTTGGGATTCGAGTTTGAATATTATATATATTCGACATCGATATATTTATCTCGTCATTTAAAAGAATTATTTCATGGATCTTTTTCACTGCATCATCTATGATTCATATTAATTAAATTATCTATTTTTTTTCATGTCATCACATTAATATATATACCCGACATCGATATATTTATCTCCACTTTCAGAGCCGGGAGCTGTTGAGGGTTATCAATTGACACCCCAAAGTTTATCAGTTTTCTTTTTATATATATAAATTTTATAAATATAATATAAAATTGAGAAAATGACACCTCTTTTTAAAAAGTTTTGACATAGTATGTATTAGGGGTGTTCATTCATTTAATTCAGTCACTAGTCGAACCAAATTTTTATTAATCGAATTAATCAATTTTTTTAACCATTAAGTCGTTAACCGAATCAAATTGAATAAAGTTCAATTTAATTCGATTGATGATTGAATTAATCAAATTTTTTAATTAGATAAATTTAAATTTAATATAGAGCTTTTTTATTTGGGTCAAAATTTAATTAGATCTTCACAATTTAATTGCTCTAGTATGATTAAAAAATAATTGGATCTTAATTCTTAATAGATTTGGGCTTAGAATATGTATTTAATATATATAATATTTTATATTTTTGGCTAATTCGATTAATTCAGTTAATTAACTGATTTCAAATCGAACTAACCATTAATATTGAAAAAAATTAATTATTCCTCGACTGAATTAATTTAGTGGCGGGCCATTTTAACCGATAAATTTGATTAAAACCGAAAAATGAACACCCCTAGTATGCATGTAGATTTTCTTTTGATTAATGTTTTAATAGCTTTGTAATAGTCTTGTGTTACTTTAGCTATATTTTACATTAATTTATCAAATTCTAATGTCATGCATCAATTTATATGACTTTATTTAGACACCATAATTTAAAACTATGACACCGTATTATGAAATTTTTAACTCCGCCCTGTCTATCTCTTTACTAACGTTGAATACGCCAATGAGTTATTACTTGAAAAATAGAAAGTAGGAGCTATGTAGATGAAATGGCTACTTGAAAAGTTAAAAAGGAACTGAGAAAGGAACATTGCTTTGTTTAATTTGCAAACTTAATGTCTTACTATTATACAGCAATCTCAAATGTAAATTTGACCATTTGAATATATCTCACATTAGACACTGAAAAATAATTAATGACAGCTGCTTGTGAAATTATTTTTTAAAATATTAACGCTTAATTAAATGTATTAATCCTTAATATAAGACCCTCTTTTACTGTGTTTCCCTTTAAAATGAAAAAAAAAACGAGTACAGATTTCCATTTTCCAGAACAATAATATTAAGCCAAGAAGAAGCTGCATAAGTGGACCATGCTCCAAATGCGAGCCTCGGGATTTTGACTCGATCATCGATCTTGAACTTCTGGCTAACATGGTGATTGGTGGTTCCGTGTGGATGAATATGCGTTACCAGACAATAAAATCTCAGTCCGATTTCGATTTTGTCTGCGAAAACGATGCTCTTGTCGAGAAGGGAAAGATGACCTCGTAGATATTGTGAAAGAACCCTTTGTCGTACACATTTTTTCTTACAACAACTTCAGTCTCCTGTAGAAGGAACCTTCCGAAGAAGGACTTACATTTGCTCTCTTCAGGGTTTCCTTCCCTAGTCATCCCAGTGGCGTTCACACCCAATGCTGCATGTGCTTCATTCCCTTTCTTCTGCCACGTTATGTAGTCTTGCCACTTGAAGGTCTGCAATTTCAAACACGTTACAGGAGACAAACATTTCCGGGTTTGTATTCGGATTAAGGTAAGAAACCACTGAATGAACAAGGTCTAAACAGATCTCACCTCGTTTGTTGTCGTGTTTGTGAGACAAAGATTTGCATGATATGCAAAGAAACCCGCTAACAGGAGAGAAACTACAGCCAGGAACACCATAAGAAGTATTTGGGTGTTATGTGCGTCTACTAGCCACTACGAAAACCGAATGAAAACTACTTAAACATTAATAGTCTACTGCAATACCCGAAATCTAAAGCAGAAACGGTATAAAAAAAAAAACAAAGACACTATAGGAAGTTAAAAGTCACAACAAGCAATTACCCTAACCAAAAATTTCAGATGATATCATGACACTCACCTGTGCAATATACGGAGCTAAACTGCGAACAGAATTATCTACACCATAATAAACTGGGGGGAAAGAAAAGAAGTAAACAGCATCAAATGTTTAGTTCGTAGATTTTTAAGAAACTAAAAAATGCTGGTCCAAATCGATTTACCTATTAAAATATGCACGATTTGCGACTCTTCCACTCGTCCAGCAAGAACCAATCCAATAGTAATCGTCCCATACACACAAAGAAGGAAATGCCTAAAGAAATGATAAATATGAACATTGAACATTAAAATGGAAAAAGCAACTTATGCTGTTACTCATACCGAGTCAAGTTGTGTGATGCAAACAAGGAACAAAAGGATGAACTACGTTCTCAATCTCAAACAAGTCCGCAAATGAACAAGTGCTTTATATTAAAGGATAAAAAGAAGGCACTTCCTCATTATTAGATTTAGATCATTACTTGAACCAAAATTGATGCAATAATTTATGCTTAAAGCTACCTTACATTAATGGAAATGGGATATTTACAAGCTCCATTCATAGTTAATGACGGAACCTTGACCATGACCCAACTAATTGACAGAAAAGGTTATTGGTGTTGGATTGTTTCCACCGAGCTATGTTACTTGGACTTGTGTATGTGTTTGACAAGAATATGTTCAATCTTCACCAAGTATTTCCATAATCATGCAGTTGGAGGGTCCTAACAACAGACATGAATAGTTCAGGAAAAATGAAGAGTCAAAGCAACATAACCACCGAGTAAGAGAGGCTGCCATGTTCTTGAAATGAACATCACCAACATAAGAATCTATCGAATTGTAGGGTGAAGAATGTAAAAGGGAAATCAAGCGAATCAAATTAAACGTATAGATCGCAAGCTGCAGATAAATAGTACAGAACTCACCATATAAGAAAAGCCATGAAGTATCGGGTATTCCTCTCCCCAATACAGTTATTCTGTAATAAGTGACACCATCTTGAGTAGACATCAAATGAGCTTAGGATTGTTAACATCTTGTACATAGAACAACTTGCAAAACAAAATAAAATAACAAAGAAAAATATAAATCGAGATGTCGGTCAAACCATCCATCCACAGTGATGATCAAAGCGGGCGACGCATCGCTTGCATAAGCTGCAGTGCTTCGATCTAGCAGGTCTGGAACGACAGCAACATCCCATCACATCTTATGAAAACAAAAAAGGCCAACGATAAATATGAAACCACAGCCATGAACCTACTTTGGAATTTTACAAGTGGGACATTCTTTCTTGGTAAATATCAGATTGTCATAAGGATACGCATAGAGATATAGTGAAACATTCTCAGCCTTCACAGTTCCCGGATCAGAAAAGCTAGTCAATAAAAAGAGAAAAAGGCCAATAGCAACCGCCAAAAAGCTTCCGTACCTACAAAAAGTACAAAATCTAAGGGGAAAAGGAAAGAGAATCACTTTAAGGAAATCAGGTTACAGCAGAGAACTCACTTCTCAGCCCATACCTATGCACTTCGCTTAGATAGTGCCCAGGAATATAGCTAAAAGACGTCTTCACTACAATGTAATAAGTCGTTCCAATTATTGCCAAGTATATAATCTGTCATAGAGAATCATAAAAATGGTTGACCACAATATGAAAAATCACCCCTTTTGTACAAAACAACCCTTTATAAGATCATCTTCTGCAAACTTCAGTTTTAAAGTCATATGCTTGCATCAGAAAACAATTTGTTTCTATAGCATTGTAAAGGTTTCAACATTGAAATGGAATTACATAGGGCTCACAGAACCAACATCTATTCGATTTATACTCATTCATCAAATCGAATGCACATGCTTCGAGTTTTCCCTCTAGCCCAGGACCTCCTCATATTAATGTATACAAAATGAATATTACAGTTCGACGTTTTAACATCAAAATTAAGTGAAACCAAACATCATGAACTTTCAATTGAATCATTTCCATTGGTGTAGAATTATACCTGTAAGATGGGATTAGCCCTATCACAGCAATAATACTCAACAGAGAGAACCAAATTTGTTCCTCTATCTCCAAAAACAGCCCCAATAAACTTCCTGAAACAAATTAAAACAGCCAAGAACCATATACACAAAACCAAGATATAAATAAGAACCCATAAAAGAAATGTGAAAAAAATGGAAGTTACAAGAAGTGTCGATAAGCTCCGAAAGTGAGGAAACGATGGATGGAGCTGATGGGTGTTCCTTGGAAGATAGGCCACTGCCCACAGAGGAATGAAACAACTATCGTGAGAGTGATCATTCCATGGCATATCAATAACCAATGCAAAGACATGTTTGTGAGAAAAAAGGGAAAGCTTTTGCTGGGTATTTGAGACAATGGGGAAGCGGAAACGATTTTGAGAGAGAATCTGGAAAACCTGGTTATATTTTCATGGGGTGGCCTGGTTTGGTTTTGTTTAGTGGTAGTTTCTGATTTCGGGTACGGCTTTTCAGATGTTTGTTTTAACTGTATTGTGAAGGTTTAAAAGTTCAGTGACTAACATACAAGTATTCTAAAAGGTTGGTGACTATTTTTATAGTTTACCATTAGAATAATTGTAGTGTTGGTTAGGTATGGCGGTAACCGACACTGAGTTAGTAAAAAAATAAGCCGATTTACTTAACTGACATCTTTTCGTCGTAATATTTATTTTTTAACATTCTTTGATCAATATTTATTAAAGTAACACCCTTTCGATTGAGGTGGCACAAAGGCACATGAACACGTTTTATTTGAGTTTATGCTGACTGGGATGTCACGCGTGTAAGGTGCATCTCTGGGGACGCGCTTTCACGGGGTTCTGCTGAGTCGGATGCCACGGGGGCAAGGCGCATCACCGGGATTGCACCTTTCATTAAATGTCATAAATACCCATATGTTTTTTCCTCAACTACCCCTCTTCCTCCCCTATATAAACCTTCAACCCCTCTCATTCTTCACACCAAAATTATATTCTCCTCTTTTATATAATTCAAATTCTCCAATTATTTGAGTTTTAAATTTCTTATTAGTGGTAAGAAATTTATTTTTAAGTTAGTATATTTTTAAATAGTTTTTATATTTTATAGTAATATAATTATATAAATATTATTTTTTTTATTAAAATAATATTTATATAATTATTATTTATTTAAATTTAATAATTAATTATTTTTTGTACTAATTATATTTTTTTGTCTACAGTTATAGTGGAAAGTGAGATGCTGCTGCGATTGGATACAAACCATATCTTCAAACATTTTAGAAAAAAACGATGTGGGCATTGTAGAAACATCGGGCACAATAGAAAAAAATGTTCAATTCGGTTATCATCACATAACCGTTAACCCTTATGTAATTAATATTCTATTTAAATGAATGTTTTTCTTTCTAATATTTAAATGTAATTGTTTTTTCTATAATTTCTCAATGTATGTACACCTAAATAAACTTTTTTTAAAAATTATTTTATGGTAGTTATTTAATATAATAATTAATATTATTTATTATAAAAAATTAATTATTAATTTTAAAATATTATAATAATTACACATTCTAAGTAGAGAAAAAAATATTAAATTAAACAAATTAAAAGTTATAAAAAATTTTATTTATACTATGACACATTTCATGTTCTAATTAGAGGATTAAATTTATTAAATTAAATTAAAAGTAAGACTAAATTGATAAAATATGTAAGTATTGAAGATTAAATGTGTAATTATACTAATTTTATTAAATTATGCATCAATATTTTCATTAAATATTGATAACAAATGATTAGATTGATAACATTTAAATAATTAAGTGATAAAATTAATAGATCGATAATCAAAAATAAAAAAATAATATATATATATATAACCATACGTGTAATATTATAATTTCATACATTTTTCCTATAACTAAAATAAGATCAAAGCTGATTTTCATCTATTGTTCCATCCGATTAATGTCGCGTGGAATGGATGAATGCCAAAGTCCCTGAAACATATAACACTAAAACCTAAATTCACTCCACTTTTAACACACATTTAAAAAATACATTAGATAATTCTTAAATTATAATTGAAACACTTTACATAATATATTACTAATTTATAATAATAATAAAAATAAAATCTTTATTATTAAAAAAATATCAGTGTGGCATCCGACTCAGTAGAACTCATATAAAGCGTGTCCCAAGGGATGCGCCTTACATATGTGGCATCACAGTTAGCATAAACCCAGGTAAAGCGCGTCCCCGGTGATGCGTCTTTGTGTCACCTCAGCCGAAAGATTCTATTTCGAAAAATATTGGTCAAATGGTGTTAGAGAGGGAATATTACGACGAAAATGTGTCAGTTTGGTCAAATAGCCTTCAAAGAAGAATAAACAATACTAATTAACCACATTGTGGTTGACAATGTTCCGACAACGCTGATGAAAAAAGAGGTTCATTTCGTCCAGATCTAGAACTTTATCCATATACATTTTTTTTATTAGTCAGTAAAGGATATAAATAGTGTCGGTATTACTTTGTTGAAATTTTTGACGATCAAAATTTATTATTTTATTGAGTTTTTCGATTAATAAAAGTTATAGAATGGTCATTTAATTTTTTATATATTTTAAATATATTATTAATTTTTAAATATAAATATTTTTTGAAATCAGTGATAAAAAATAGACAAAACTCAAATATAAATGATCATTAATGTAATGTCAAGGAAATGGTGGAGCTAACCGATGTTGGGAATGAGAGCATTACCATAGAGGGAGTTGGCAACCAAGAAACGACCACCAATGACAACTTAATCTTGCGCAGAAGCTTGAGGGAAAAAAGGACGCCCCAAGCCTTGACCAATTTTGTCCGGTTCTGAGGAATTTAAGGATTAAAAATATAAATAAGAGAGCATGTGAAACGTGAAAAGGCATCTGTAATCCTGAAATATTTTACAAACTTCTTAATCTACTGCATATTCTCCTTTTCTATTCCTATATTTTCTTTTCTGGTTACTGGTACATGACATTTTGGTGCTTTCATTGAGCCTGGACAATATGGTGAGTAACACTAAAGCTATCAAAGCTTTGCAAGAAGCGAGTGCTCGCCACGACCAACTTTTGTTTATCTCCAATCTCAGGAAGAGGATCAAAAAAATAGAATGCGACCACACAGCGAACCCTCCAGGATTTTGTTCGCCAGTTAACAGCACTTTCTGCACAGTTGGGAGCTCCGGCAACTACTTCTTACGATGGTGATGGTTCAAGAGAAATCGTGGTTACTAGAGGCAAGGTAAAAATGAAAGTGGAATCCAATGATGTATTTCCTTTCTCACCCAAAACAATTCAAGTGGAGTTACCTATATTTAATGGTAAGACCCAGAGGAGTGGCTTGCATCGGCGAATGATTTCTTCGAGTTTTATGACATTGAGAACCACCATCGCGTAACCATGGCATCATTCAGAATGGAAGGCATAGCCAAGAAATGGTTTCGTTGAATGCAACAACAGTGACAACTGGCAGGTTGACAACATTTGGTTGGAGTGATTCCACGACGGTTCATGGTGATGGAAATCGAATCACCAGAATGACAACTTTCTAAGCTTTTCCAAACAACAACGGTGGATGAATATCAAACCCGATTTGAAGACCTTGCCCTGCGTACAAATAACCTTTCTAATGAATTTCTGACATAATGCTTTGTGTCTAAGCTTTGTTCAGATATTAAGTATGAGGTGTTGGGGTATCGATCCACTTCTATGACTGAAGTAATTGCCCTGGCTCGATTTCAAGAAGCCAAATTTCTTGAGATACGAAAATCATTGGGTCGGGTACATGGTCCAAAATTATCTCCTTTACTACCGACAACCACCTCGTTTCCTGCTGGGTCTAAAGCACATCTTGGTCGATTACCTCAATCAGAAAATCACACGACCTCTCATAATCTTATGCAACCTCGCAGAATTTTCGGCAGCTGAAGCTTAAGCTTGACGCGAGAAAAGGGTTATGTTATTACTGTGATGCTAAATTTGTTCCGGGTCACAAATGCAAGGATCCTTAGTTATTCTTGCTAGATGATGAACTTGAGGATGAACACCAAGAAACACTAATAGGTACACGAGCGAATGACGGTGATGAATTAGAGGACTCTGGTGATATTGTACACGAACAATCTTTGGTTTCCTTTAACGCTCTTGCAGGCTGTTTCACTCCTAATACGATACGTGTGACGGGGGAGATTAAAGGCCGACTGGTTCAGATTTTGATTGATGGTGGCAGTACATACAACTTTTTCCAGTATCGTGTTGCAAAGCATTTGGTTTTGAAGTTGACGGTAGCACCAAACTTTAGGGTCCTTGTGGGAAATGGTGAAAAATTACAAAACGAGGGTTGTATGCTCTATCTTAAATTGTGAATTCAAGGTATTGAATTGATTATTGATTTCTATGTGTTACCGTTAGAAGGTACTAAAATGATATTAGGAGTTGCTTAGATGGCTACTCTCAGACCGGTGACTATGGATTTTCTACACTTCGGTTTCAATAACACCAAGGGGACAAGGAGCATTATTGGCAAGGGGAAACGAGGTTGGCTCCCCAACCGATCCAATTACAATCCTTACGTCGTTTGAAGGACACTAAGGTTATGGCTGCCTATTATTGTTTGCAAATGGACATGGGACTAACAATGAAAAGCAAAGTTGAACCAGAGGACATGACAAAACTATTGGTTGAATTTGATATGGTTTTTGTGGCTCCTCACTGTCTACCCCCTATTCGAGAAAATAACCATGCTATTCATTTACAATCTATAATCAAACTAGTGAATGTGAGACTCTACAGGTATCCCTATTTTCAGAAAGATGAAGTCGAACAACAAGTCTGACACATGCTTGAACACTAGTTGATTCATAAGAGCAATAGCCCATTTTCTTCTCTAGTGTTGTTGGTAAAGAAGGAATATGGTACGTGGTGGTTCTGCGTTGACTACCGTGCTTTAAACGCAGTCACCTTTAAAGATAATTTCCCTATTCCCAAAAAAACGTTTTTCGGACTCATGAAGGACATTATGAGTTTCTCGTTGTGCCGTTTGGTTTAAACAACGCAACACCTACTTTTCAGACAACAATGATCAATCTCTTCCGACCATTTCTACGTAAATTTGTTTTAATTTTTTTGGATGGCATTCTTGTGTATAGTCGAAATTGGCAGGAACATTTGGACCATGTTCGACAAGAGCTACAAAGGTTGCAAGAAAATGGTTTTGTCGCAAAGCGTAGTAAGTGTACATTCGGACAGACCATTGTTGAATATTTGGGGCATATAGTTTCAAGGGAAGGATTGGCAGTCGATTTCGCTAAGTT